AGCGAGAGAGAGAGAGAGAAAGATAGCAAGAGCAAGAGACAGCGAGAGAGAGAGAGAGGGAGAGAGACAGAGAGAAATAGAGAGGGAGAGACAGGAAGAGAGAGAGACGTCGGCTCACCCTGCCCGAGTCCCGTCTGGTTGATCGCGTCGACGATGGCGACGAAGTGTTCGAAGAACTTGCTCGCCGTGTCCTCGTAGACGGGCGCCGTCTCCGCGAGCTCCAACGCCATGTCCAGCATTGTCACGCAGTAGAACGCCATCCACGCCGTGCCGTCCGCCTGCAGGGGGCGCCACCGCCGAGACGTCGGTTACGTGCACGCGAAGACGAGGGTGCGGGTAACCGGGCGTACCGCCTCGGGTTTTGTTGTTGTCGCATGTTGTATGTTGTTGTATGTTGTTGTTGTATGCTGTTGTTGTATGTTGTTGTTGTATGTTGTTGTTGTTGCATGTTGTTGCATGTTGTTGTTGTATGTTGTATGCTGTTGTTGCGTGTTGTTGTTGTATGTTGTTGTGTGTTGTTGTATGTTGTATGCTGTTGTTGCGTGTTGTTGTATGTTGTTGCATGTTGTTGTATGTTGTTGCGTGTTGTTGTAGTATGTTGTTACATGTTGTTGTATGTTGTTGTTGTTGCATGTTGTTGCATGTTGTTGTTGTATGTTGTATGCTGTTGTTGCGTGTTGTTGTTGTATGCTGTTGTGTGTTGTTGTATTTTGTATGCTGTTGTTGCGTGTTGTTGTATGTTGTTGCATGTTGTTGCGTGTTGTTGTAGTATGTTGTTACATGTTGTTGTATGTTGTTGTTGCGTGTTGTTGTGTTGTTGTATGTTGTTGTTGTATGTTTTTGTATGTTGCCGTTAAGTCGGACAAGCTAGACCCGTTTGTGCGCATTTCCCTGCACACACACACATGCCGGATTGCCGACGCTTGTGGCACTTAGTCACTAAGCGGTGTTTTTTAAATCCCCTATCGCAATGTGGAGTGGCTCGCCGAAAAATTGCAAGTTACGAAAAAATTATTCCAAGTACATTTTTAAAATAATAAATATAATAATAATAATAATAATAATAATAATTGATGATAATAAAAATAACAATAAATTAATATTAATAAAATAGCAATCTGGGTGCATTTACTCTCCAAAATCGTGAACCGCTGCGTCGCGTTCCCCGTTCTTCCCGTTCTCACGTTGCTCTTACAAGGAGCGACTTCTGCCTACCTGTTCCAGCTCTCCCCCCATCGGCAGCGGCTTGGATCGGTCGAACACTCCGATGTTGTCCAGTCCCAGGAAGCCTCCAGAAAACAGGTTCTTCCCACTAGGATCCTTCCTGTTCACCCACCTGCGGAGGAAAGACGGGAAGAGGTTCGCCCGGGGCAGTGAAAAAAATACACGGGGGCTCAGGGCGATTTAGCCCCCGAAATGGTAAAAAGAGCCCCGGAAATGGCAAAAAGAGCCCCGGAAATGGCAAAAAGAGCCCCCGTATATTTGCATAGAGTTCAATGCAAACCAAATTTTAGAGTGCTATTTTCATGCTCGCGAGCTTGAAAAATAGCCCCCGAAAAATAAATTTTTTCCTTTGTGATCCACGATGTGTCGTGCCGGGTACTACCGTGCTACGCCACGCCACGCCATGCTACTGTGCATGCTATGCCACTGTGTATGCAACGCCATGCCATGTCACGTCTCGCCACGCCTCACCACATTACCATGCACGCCACGCCACGCCACGCCACGCCACGCCACGCCACGCCACGCCACGCCACGCCACGCCACACCACCGTGCACACTACCAAGTACCAAGTAAACTCTCGTTAGCAGGTGAACGCTCGTTACCAGGTGAACCCCCGTTACCAGGTGAACCCCCGTTAGCAGGTGAACCCTCGTTAGCAGGTAAACGCTCGTTACCAGGTGAACCCTCGTTACCAGGTATTACTCTCGTTAGCAGGTGAACGCTCGTTACCAGGTGAACCCCCGTTACCAGGTATTACTCTCGTTAGCAGGTGAACGCTCGTTACCAGGTAAACCCTCGTTCCCAGGTATTACTCTCGTTAGCAGGTGAACGCTCGTTACCAGGTGAAGTTTGTGTGGTTGTGTGCGTGCGTGGTAGCGTGCGCACGTCCGCGGCGCGCCGTGCGTCGTCGGCGTGCGAGCGTGCGTGCATGTGCACGTGCCGTGCGTGCGTGGCGTGGTGCGTGCGTGCGTGAGGGGCGGCGTACACTTCGCGTGCCGTGCGTGCGGTCGCGTGCGTGGTGCTGTGTGTGGTGCTGCATGGCAGTATAGTGTGATATTGTATGATGTAATTAGAGATTGCTCATGCTATCTTCAGAGATCGTAATTAAGAAGATCTTTAGAGAATCAGTGATAATTAGAGATTCATGCTAATATAGAGAGTTAATGACTAATTTAGAGATACGCTCATGCTCTATTTGTGCTATGTATGCGTGTGTGCATGCGTTTGATATGTCAGTGCTACTCTGTGCGTGGGTTACGTGTGTGTGGCGCGCGGCTGTGATGTGTGCACGTCGCGTGCAGTGCATTGTGGTGCAGGTGAATGGGTTGGATATCATATATCAGTGCTACTACTGTGGCAGCCGTGGTGGTGCGCATTGATGTGCGTGATACGTGCGTAGCCGTGCTGTGGGTGCGTGCGTTGCGTGCAGCAGGTGGCACACCCGTGGCTGCGTGCGTGCGAGGCGTGCTGGTGTGCGTGCGTGTGTGCATGTGTTCGATATATCAGTGCTACAAGTGTGTGGGTACGTGTGTGAGTCTGCCGATGTACGTGCGTGTGTCGTGCGTGGGAGCGGCGGTGCGTTGCTGTCAGTAGCTGTGCGTGTGCTGACTGTGTTTCGAATATGATCAGTGGCTACAAGTGTGTGGGGTACGTGTGTGCGGTGCGTGTACGTGCGTGTGTGTGACGTTCGGGAAGGTGCGTGGCGTGCGTGCGCGGCGCTGTACGTGTCGTGAATCTGTGCGTTGGCATGTGTGTGTGTACGGTAGCGTGCGTGGTGTCGGCCGCGGTGCGTGCCGTGTACGTGCACGTGTTGGTGTGCGTGCGGTTGCACGTGGCGTGTGTGTGCGGTGGTTGCGTGTGTGTACCGTGACTGTGTGTACGTGCGTGTGTGTGTGCTACGTACGTGTACGTGTGGGTACGTGCGTACGCGTGGTACGTGCCGTGTGGGGCACCGCAGGGTATCGCGTTATCGTCAGGATATTGCAGCAGTTAAGCCATGGCGAGGACTGTAAAGGAGTGCTACTTAACTACAGGAGTCCGCTGCCGACCACAGCTTACATGTGGGTGTGCGAC